AGGATGATGATATTATATCCTTTGAATGCCACAGTTTCACAGTGATGGTATTTTCCCTCATGACCAGATGTCTTTTGGATCTCTTATACAATGTCATTAACAATGTCTTTGTGTCAGGCGCTGCTGATAGATTTTCTAGCTTCAAAGAGCAGGAAACTAACTTCATTTTTATGCAAAACATGCTTGGAGCACCAGGAGCGCAAAAGATTTACAGAAAAAAAATAGATAAAAGAAAACTATCTGCTTCGAGACTTTTCTGGGCATTTTCCTTTTTTCTAATTTATTTTTGAGAGCTTTGTATATTTGGATTAGATACTGTTCTGAAATTGTAGGAGCTAAAATAAGCTCCAGGTTTGTGATGCAGTAGATAAGATTAATATGGAATCCCCAACTAAAGTAAAACTTAAAAATGTTGTATTTTTTTGGCTGAAAATATACATAAACCATTCACCGCAGGCTGAAACTGGAACAAATTTACTCTGAACATTTCTGACTCAGCAGTTCAACTCAATTCAGTTTATTTATAAAATGCTGAAGGTTTCAGTCACACATGCATCTCAAATTGTTCCACTGATCAAACAGTGTATCAAGTTAACTTCATTATTGAAAATTGTTTTAAAAATGTTCTATCTATCCCAACCTGGGGGAGCGGTTTCCAAAATGTCCATCTTATGACCTGAAGGGTCAAAATATAATAAATCACAATCATCACTGCAACACCAGAATGTGCAACATTTCCACTGCAAAGGACTGCTGAGTTGGGATATTTGCAACATTTATATTCTGTAGTTGCATTACAGGTTTTACTCAAGTGGGAGCTTGAAAAACATAAAAACTACAATAAACTACAGTTTGTTCATTGGGCTTAGAGGAACCCTGAAGATCTTCCCAGAGGGAGAAAACATGGAGCTAATCAGGAAGTGCCACAGAGACTGCGGTATTTTTCTCCTTTCTGTGCGCTGCCCGGGTTCCTTGCTACTTATCTTAAACTCATGCATGACTGTGCACTTCTTTTGTCTTGCATAAAGTCTCAAACAGTTCTGGTTGCCATATGAACCTGCGCTGTAGCTCTGGAGGATGTTTGCTCCCCGCGCTGCATTGTCTTTCAGCTTGGATCTAATCCCTGCAGCGAAGCGGCTGCTGGATTTATAGACACTCGTGGAGCAGACGGAGGGAGGTTCCCCTGTTCACTGAGATAATAGCAGAGCACTGAAGTGGAGTGGTTTATACACACACATATGAACACACACACAGCCTCTTAAGCGCTGCATGTGGCAATTATCTCTCCTCTCAGCAGCTTGTGGCATCTCCCCCATCTCCTGTCCTCTCCTCCACCTCGCCTTCTCTCTTTTTATTAACCTCCTAACTTTTCCTCTTCTTTCCTCAAACATCTCTCCATCGCTCCCTGTGATCTTTGCATCCATCCCCTCTTTCCTTTCTCTGCATGCTGCATCCTCTCCCTTCTTCTAACACCACAAAGTAAAAGGACGCACGGCTTCCATTCAAAGCAGAAACACACAAATTTTATCTCCACTCATAAAATCAGTTGTTTTTACATGAAGAGGCCATGAACAACCACAATGCGTTTATAATTTTAATGTATAGGAGGCTGGTGAGACCTCTACACTGCAAAAACACTGAATTGTATCAACTATTGTTGTTTAGCTTCTAATCCTTAATATTGATTAAAAACTGGGAGATTTTTACACTTGTAACGTAGGAAAAAAGTGAAACTTGTTCTTTCTTATTTGATACAAAGGAGTTATTTCCGTAAAAATAGCTCCTATTTCTTGCTGAACAGGTACGTAAGTTAGTTTTCAAATATATTTGCACTGAAACCAAAAGTACTTCATGTTTGAGGTGTAGTTCCTTTGCATCATGTTTAGGCTCTAATGAGTGTTTTAAAGTCCACACACACTTTTCATCCAGAGCTGCCCACTTCTGCTCACTGCTCAGCAGATCAGGGATGTTCAGCGCTTCCAAAACGACCTTCCAGTGGTCGGAGGGCCGGGGATTCACTCCCAGATGTTTCATTTGGAAGATTGCATCATAAATCAAAATGACAACTGTTTCTACAAAGATGCAACCAACTCAAGAACAGAACGACACTTCTCTCTGTAATCTGAATACTAACAGCCTGCAGGTTTCAGGAAGAACATCACATCTTCAACTAGAAATCTTCCTCCTTTGCTCTTCAGGTGATGGTTTCCTCACTGGGAAAATAACAGACCTGCTGCAGCTGATTCTCCAGACCTGCTGTGTTTTTCTCCCCCAGCAATTTTCTTTAGACCAGTAACTGATGTTACTGTGGATCGTTTCTGGTTTATGATGCTTAGTGACTGTCAGCTGTCAATCAAGCATGACTTATTGCACAGTAACATAGGAACATAAACAGAACTCACTTAAAATATTATTTTTGTATTACTACTAACAATCAGGACAAGAAGAAGAAGAAGAAAGCTATCTTCATAGATTCATGACAACAAAAATACAAAATCTTAGCAAATATTTTTGTTTTGTTTCTGATGAACATATTTTGGTACACTGAAATAGCAAAATGTAAGAGCTTGTTTAAGTAAATTCTTTCATATTTATGAAACATTACAAGTTCCACTGGCAAATTGATTTTCTTGTTATGAGTGGAAAGAAATCTGCCAGTGCAACCAGCACTTCTTATCAATATTTAATAATTATTGACTTAAACAAGCTCTAATATCTTGATGAAAAGTTACTTATTGGTTAACTTCATCTTATTTGAAGTGTGGAAAAACTCCACTTGCTAAGATGAATGTTTGAACTTAAATTTGACTAAAAATACAGTTTATTTACCAGAAATGTCCGAACTAACAAGAAGAAACGAAGATGGAAGCCATGGTTGGAGAAAGTTCTTGCTGTGGATCTGTGCAGAGGAGAACTGATGTAAAAGGTTTGAGCTTTTTAAAAGCTCGGAAGATTTATGAGGCATGCTCAGACTGAGAAGGAGAGAAAAAAAGTCTTCTACTTTTAAGTTACAAATTACAGATCCTCAACTTTTCAGACTTTCTAAATTTACATCGCTTAATTTTTTGCTCTTTCTAAAAGTTTCTGCACAACTACCTTGACTATAAGCCAAGCTCTGCCTCTCGGGATCCCAGCCAGCGTGTAGGAAGCGGTGCAGAGAGCATGCAATGAAAATGAAGTTGTTTCTGCAGCAGCTTCAGCCCAGAATCGCTGCAGTTTCTCGGTTTCTGGTCCCGGCAGAGCAAGAGGTGCCACTGTTTCCCCTGCCAAGAGCCCCGGAGACCCCAGCTACACGGTAACCGTGTTAACAGATAATCACATAACAGAACACTCCTTCACCACACACACACACACACACACACACACACACACACACACACACACACACACACACACACACACACACACACACACACGCTTTAGCCTTGTCCTATATGAGATAAATGAGCACCATCAGCCCCCTACCTCCCTGCTAACAGATGAATGTCTGAGTACATCCCTGGTTTTTCCCTCCTACACATCATTCTCACTTTTTAACACTCACACGCCCGCGTGCGCGTTCACACGAAGAGCCTTATGTCAGCCCAACAGTGAATTTCCCTCCTCTCTTAGCACAACAGATGATGCAGGCAATCAACACAATGCTCGCTTACGCACATTAGCAATCCACATATGCACAAGCAAAACCACTCACGCTTTCACGCACGGCGTCAGAGGCAGCAGACGAGATATTACAGGAAAGGAGAGCCAATCATCAGGGGACGCATGTCCAAACAGCAGATGCACACCGTGATGAAGGTGCCAGTTACACTCAGAGGATTTGGGCTCCTATAGGAGACGGATCCTGGAGCCAGCTGTGCTCCTCTTTCACAACTAATGACAGCTTATCACCAGTCAGAGTGTTTTAGTTCATTTAGCCAACATAATGTCTAGGGAAACAGATTTTACTCAGTTTCGTTTTTAAAAGTTAAATAAATCTGATCATTTAAATCATGTGAAGTGCAAAATCATAAGTCGGTAATTTGGGGCCTTATTTTAACTCCAAAGGGTTTCCACGTAAAAAAATACAAGCTACTATGTTCTGGATGTAGAGAGATTTGAGCTAAATGAGGATTTTGACGAGGTTTGTGTAAAAAATCGAGCAAATACAATCAAACATGAGAAAACAAAACCACTTCAAGTTTAAATTCAAACTCATGTTAACTTGAAAGAAAACTTTCTCAAATCTTTATCAACAGCTATTTTTTTTATTTCAAACACAACAATCATCATCCTTCTGCAATTTGATGAAGACGTTGTGCATTAATATAATCTAATACAACTACAGCAGAAAATCCAAGAGTGCTTATTTTTTAAAGTTGCACTAAAATCCAAAGGTTTGTGGAAAAGTTGTGTTAGTGAATCCTGAGTGGTGTCAGCGCACACACTCTGGACCTCTGCACACTCTCCACAAGTGCCTGGAAGTATTTTATCTCTGCGAATAAGACGAGGCGGATGCTGTCAAAGCGACAAGCTCCTTATCTTCCCGCTGAGCGTCTTTCAAACAGGCGAGAACGTCGAGCCGCTAAGAGGATTTCTCTTTTGGCTGAAATTAATTTCTAAGTGAACAGATGGATTGTAATTTGCTGTTTTCTGTGTTTGTTTCTGTAATCAAGTTTTGTTTTGGTGGAGAATAATTAGAAACTTGAGTTGTGTTTGGATGTGTGTGTACCTGTGATGCAGAAACCGGTGTTTGTTTATGCCTGCAGGCTGCTGGAGTTCAGCTCCTCTGTGTGCTGATAAGCTCTCATCTTATGCATTGCAGGCCTGACAGACTCATACATCAAACTGTGCAGTTTGGTGGTAATAAAAATATCTGTTCTGAGGTCACATTATCAGAAAACAGTTCAGAAAATCTGCTTCAGCACTCACTCCATCTGAGGTTTTACACCTGGACTTTTTCTGCTTATCCTGTGTGTATATGAGGAGGGACACTGCTGATAAAGCTGAGGGTCGTGTACCTGTAGTGGCGCGTGTCTCTCAGTGCTCGGTCGCTGGGGATGCGTTCGCTCTCTCTCTGGTTGAAGGCGTACAACGTGTACGGATCGTCGCCGGGCTTCCAGCGCCGAGCGTTCAGGTAACTCCGCTCATCAAAGCCCTCCAACATGTCCTCCCACTCCGCATCGGAAATCTGGAAAACAGTCAGCAGGTCAGAGGAAGAACGGATATCAGCATCAGTCCTGGTGGATCTCTTCTCAGGACATTGGTTTAATGATCTGCAGCAGAAAGAAAACACAGTTTGTTTTATATAATTGCATCTAGTCATTCACAAAGTAGATTCTTTAGTTTTCCATCCTCTCTGTGTTTTAAGACTAACTGCTGCACTTTGTCTCTCTGCAGTGTTTGAGTTCAGCCAAAGATTAGAGACACTTTTCCTCAAAGTGGCAGGATTATGTTTGCATGTCTCCACCTATTATTTGTAACAGAGGTACAGTGGTCGCCATTAGAGATCGTAAATCAATTAAATGGTTTTATTGTGCAACATCAGTTTTTTATTTTTTGATCGTATTTGCACGTATCGTTAGGTTAAACTATGCTGCATATGGATGCAGCTTTATTGATTTCAGATTTTGTAAATCACTTTGGTCATCAAAAGTTGTCCAAAAAGAAAGAGTTAAACTTCGACTTGGGTTTATATTAGATTACAAATCTCTTATTTATAATTCAGAGAGGAAAGCAAACGGCCGTAACAGATTTATGGAAAACAGTTTAAACAAAATAATCAAATCCAGATGAAAGCCACGTTGTTGCAGTACATATTTGCAGACTATGTTATCTTTACCACCCATAGATTCAATTAATTAACACTGCACTCGCCCTGAGTAACACTGAATAATTAAACTAGAAAATAAAACAATATTTGTGCAATTTAAAAGGAAGGAAAAGTGTTATTTGGCTGAAATAAGAAGTATTAAGTCTAGAGTGACATTTTCTTTGTATCACTCATCATCACAGTGGATGGAAAATGTGAGATTTAGTCATAAATGTCAGATTCTGAGAGTCAGATAGTGAGTACAGTATTGGTCCATCTGCTGTTGTTCACATTTAAAAGCATGTGAAGCTTTTAGAGGTCATTTCACTAGAGGAAGATTCAGGACGCTCTTTACTGTTTAACAAGATGAATGCAGGACTTTAGGTTTCCATCCTCTCTGTGTTTTAAGACTAACTGCTGCACTTTGTCTCTCTGCAGTGTTTGGGTTCTGCCTAAACAGAAGCTGTGCACAGAATATTCAGTCATCGTTTTCCAATCACATCAAGGTACAAATATGAATTTGGCACATTAACGATTAGGTAGAAATCAGAGTCAAAACGTGATTAAATGTTTGTTTAAATGAGGCCACAAGTTTCAGATATGCTGAGAGACTTTAAAAACATTCATCTGAATAAGGAGTTTGGGTTCAAATTTCTAGCAAGGAAACTTTAAAATATCAAAAATTGAACAAAATAATCATTTTGTTGCAAGTAAGCTAATGATAAATCAGTAAAACTTCCTTTCAGCCTCATTTATCAACAAAGTCTGACATCAGTCCCTTAAATAAGATGAGAGTTTAAAATATTGTAATGTTTTCTTTTAGCCTTCACTCAAAAACCAGGACGGTTTTTACTAGAATTTGCTTTAGAATCAAATGTATTGATTAACCAAAATGGAGAACCACACAATAATCAAACATGAAGCGTTTAAATACTAATACAGCAGCTCTAAAACTCTCATTAAAACCAGTGATCTAAGTTAATTTTCCTGATGTAAAAACCTTTCCAAACAGTGCGAAGCGTCTTCAGACAGCAGCCAATCCATCAAGTTTACTGAAATGTCATCTTTCAAATTCCTGCTGAGATTAACTCTTAACTGCTCTGCAATCACAACATCAGAAAGTAAAGCCTGTGAGCTTCAATTACTTACAGAACAGTTATTTATTGCATTGTAATAACTTTTCCCCCCTCAGGTGACAGAATATCTTTGAACACAATGATATTATTTTCAGCAGTGCCACAAAACAAAACAGTAATTTTTCAAGGCGAAGTGTGTGATGATTCTCAGAGTTCAGATGAGACTGAGTTAGAGCCTGCAAGGCTTGAAATCATCCTGAAAACCTGCACACTGCTACACTTTGGAAAACAGACCTTGGTAATGAAAAACATATGCAGGGTGTAGTTAATAGGCTGGAGCCTGCTTTTAAAATGCTAATCAGGGAAGCTACACTCCAGTTTTAGCAACAGTAGAGTCACTGATTCTGCAGAAGTGCCAGGGAGTTTTTCTTCCTCTTAGAAGAAAATGCAGAAATGAAATGAATCCAGTTCGTCTCCGAACAGCCGGCTCTGAAAACACAAGGTGGCATTAATTAGAAAGCAGAGCTTCAGCTGGACTTTCTCTGCTCTGACTGGAGTGTGTGTGGTTTCAAATATAATCTACAGGATGCTATAGAAATGTGTTTGCATGCAGGACAGGGTGTGTGTTGCTCAGCTGTGTCTTTGCCTGCCTTGATGAGGAGGAAGTGTGTGTTTCGGTGTGTTTTTGTGTAATGCATAAGAGAGAAAAGATGTTTCTTTGAGGGTGAGACATATAAAAAATGTGTTCTCTCCTGCACTTTCCGGATCATAAACATAACACAGGAGCTCCAGCTAAATCCCCTGGAGGCCGTATTTCTCCCCAACGATTACACACTCTGGCATATAAAGGAGATGAATGGGCACACACACACACACACACACACACACACACACACACACACACACACACACACACACACACACACACACACACACACACTCACGCATACACAGAGAGACACAGGGTCAGAGCCGCGATGGTGTGTGTAACAGAACAACATTTACGGTGAAACAGCTGTCTGGATGGAGGGATGCAGCAAACGACTTCTTTATTTTACTATAGTCCTGCTCCTGCTTTCCCTCCATCTTCTCATTATTCAGCCGTACGACTTGCTGATGCGACACATTGTCTAAATGGGGCCATTAGAGGCTGCAAGTCGGAGGCCGTGTGTGTGAAAGTGAAAGTGTTATTCCGTGTTGGCGCTTCTTCCCCTGGTGGCTGTAACAACAAAGCATGAAGAACGAGACGAAGAGGGAGGACAGGAAGAGGAAGACATGGGACGAGACAGCTAATGAGGAAGAGGAGCGGTGACAGAGGGTGACGAAGGAGCCACATGGTGGGGGGTGCAGCGCCTTCCAATCCTGGGCTTCTTCTGCTGATGTGTTTCGGGTTATAGTTTCCTCCTTTCCACTTTTCTCCGTCTGCGATGGAGAAACTCAAAGTCCCTCCATGATTTGTGCAGAATGACGAGAAAAAACCAGACTTTGAGGTCTAATGCAAGTGCAATGTGAGAACAAAACATTCTTCATACCTCTGCTCATCTGAAGTTATTAGTTTGATCTGGCAATTTGATTTGTCAGATAAAAAAAGGCTAAGATTGTATAGATTATGTATACACTGGAGTGTTTGGATCAATGCATATCAATGTAAAAAACTGACCTCCATAGTATAGAAATGTCTAGTTAAAGTTCTCATATTTACGAGACAAACATCTCTGGTGTCAAAGCCGCAAATCTGTCAGAAAAACAGCAAACATGAATATTAAAACTAGGATATTAACTCATATTTACAGTCAGAAATTTGCAACAAAAACTGCCAGAAGTTCCTGAGGTTTAAGTGGTAAATGTAGAAGATATTTTCAGAGTGTGGATCTGAGTTCCTGGATCAGAACATGTTGCAGGTTTTGATCCTTTTGATCCAAACATGCTGGTCACAGAGACGTTTTTATGATCATGTTAGACTTTAGTAATGTCAGAGAATATTTCAGCTCTCATATCATAAACGTCACACTTTAATCATGGAAATTATTCATTTTCTTTTTGCAATTTAACAGCTTTTCCACATCAGAAATATAAAAAACACATTTTTCCTCGTGAAATTAATCGACTTTTTTAGTAGGAATTTTCTCCAGAACAAAAACAATGTTTAGAAAACAGATGAAAAATACTAAAATAAAGAATTAAATAAAAATTAATAAAACTCTATGACAGAATAAAAGCAGCATGCACAGTGAAGACAAAAAAGATAAGTTTAATGTTGAAAGGAAAGTTGAAGTCTTCATGGGAGAAACCACCTAACAGACTGACAGAGACAGATTGGAAGATGAAGAGGATTAATGGGAAGCAGAAAGGATTAAATAAACGGGAGAAACAAACAGAAAAGATAAAGAAACTGCAAAGAGAAAAACTGGATCACAGAAAACCTGTAAAGGAAGAAGAAAGATGAGAGGTAAAAAGAAACCAATAACGGCTATGATGGAGAATTAATTAAACTGAATCCACAAGAGGATTAGGTAACAGGAACAAACAAAATGAAAGAGAAGAGCAAAAACAACTGAAAGAGACTGAAAACGTGGACAAAGAAAGAAACAGAGAAAGAGTTAAAACCAAGGAAGAGGAGGAAGGAAAAGACGGAAAAACAAGAAGAAAGAACGATTAAGCTTCTCTCTGTTTAACACACACCTGCGGCCGCCTCACCACTGCATGATTTGTTTGTGTCTTGTCTCGCTAGGAGCTCAGGAGGAGCTGCGTTCAAGGTCCAATCCTATTTACAAGACACAGACACACACACAGCTTGTCTCCTTAATGCGCCGTGGCATCCTCTCAATGCCTCTCACGGCCGCTAACATGAACACAGACATTCAATTAACAGACCTGAGGCACCGACCGCCGGACAAACGTTCTGGGCCTGTGCAAGCAAGTGTGTGTGTGTGTGTGTGTGTGTGTGTGTGTGTGTGTGTGTGTGTGTGTGTGTGTGTGTGTGTGTGTGTGTGTGTGTGTGTGTGTGTGTGTGTGTGTGTGTGTTTTACCACCAAGGGAGCCCATTAATTCATCCAGACGAGACGGACTGATACATTTAAAATTATAATGAGAAAGTTGAATCCTGCACACCCACACACACAGCCAGGTGTCACGGTCAATGCATACGCTCTGACAGCTCACAGTGGAGAGAGACAGCGGGGAGGAAGACACAGAGAGGATGCAGAACATAGAGAAACCGGCACACTAACACGGGAAGTCAGTGGATTCCTATCTGCTACTCCCAAACATTTCAGTAAGGAGGAATCTGTAAGGTTGCATCTC